ATTTATTGACGAGTCGGCTGCGGTGCGGCCAACTGAAAGCGCTGCTTCTCTGCCGCTCACTGCACAGAACACACACGAGAGAGGAGACACTTCTCCGGGAAAGTCAGACCTCGCGTTCGCGGGACAGCACTGGCGAAATCTTCCAACTGAACCATAGCTAAGGTTTATCCAAAAAAGTCGCTAGGTTTGTCAGTATGAATATTCTATGGAAAAAAGCCGCTAAAAGGGTCTGAAAGTTGCTAAATCTAGTGCTAAAGTCGCGCTCGTGTGTGTGAGATGCGGGAGCTGATGGCAGGGGGCGGTGGATATTTGTGGCGGTCAATGTGGATATTGTGGATGAGTTCTTCGGTGTCATCACGTTCTATTAGTTCTACAGCTTCGGTTTCTGAACTTTCACGCTTAGTAACACATACAGCTGTTCCCTCACCACAGTGCAACAGTGAAAAGGGACCCCTTTCAAACAGTGTCGCGTTCCAAACGTTGTTTAAGCGACATACACCGGTATTGCAGTATTTTAAAAATTCATATAACAAAAATAAACACCGGTATTCGGTATGAACCGGTATACCGCCCAGCACTACGCATAATATTACATATTTTAGAGTAAAAACGAATATTCACTATTGTTCAAAAGTTTGGGGTTGGTATGTTTGTAATGAAGTGTCTTTTGCTCAACAAGGCTGCATTTATTTGATCAAAAATACAGTAAAACGTTAATCTTGTGAGATTTTATTACAATTTAAAATTGTTTTCTATTTCAATATATTTTGAAATATAATTTATTACTGTGATGGCAAAACTGAATTTTCAATCAGCCATTATTCCAGTCTTCAGTGTCACATGATCCTTCAGAAATCATTTTAATATGCTGATTTGATGCTCAAGAAACATTTCTCATTATTATTAGTGTTGAAAACAGTTGTGCTGCTTAATGTTTTGGTTGCAACCATGATACATTTTTATTTTTTGATGAATAAAGTTCAAAAGAACAGCGTTTATTTGAAATTGAAATCTTTAGAAACACAACAAACATTTTTACTGTCACCTTTGATCAGTTGAATGTGTCCTTGCTAAATAAAAGTATTAATTGTTGTTCTTTTTTTATATAAATCTTACTGAGCCCAAACTTTTTGAACGGTAGTGTATAGTGGAAAATGCTGTCTGAGAAAAGCTTGATTTTGTTTATTGAGATTTAGTTGAATCTTGAGAAGTGTACATTATTATAAGACATCGCTCTGAGCCTTAGTTAAGTCTGTAGTCAGAAAAGTCATTGTAGAGGCTTAAAAGTTCTTACATTTTGATAAAAAAGATTATAATCATTGATTTTTTTCCCTCTCTGTAGAGTAACACATTCTAATGAATTTTGCACCATAAAATGTATTATGAAAAGTAAAAGATTCAGGTTTGACTGCATGTGTCAAAATGTTTAATCCAAAAAGTGTTTTACACTATCTGCTTTTTTTTTCTGGCAGAAGGACATGACCCTGAAGCCCCATGAGCGGAGACAGAACCAGGCAGGACCGCTGCGCAAGAAGAAGTCCGGCCGAGTGCCGAACGGGCTGAGCTTGGACCTACACAAGGACCGACTCAACCACAAC